TGCAGAATACAGGCATTTTAATTATAAAGAAGCCTGGGGACTCCTATTGTGAAATGTCTATGCTTTACTATCACCGGCTGCTCATTTCAAAACGTGTGGGAGATAAAAAATGCACTTTTGCAACAGTCTACAACATATTACTGTATAAACACTAAATGCAAAATATTCATTGATTGCAAACTGCTCTGAAACCACGAACCTTTAGAATGCACAACAGCACCGTGTTTTGAGTTTTGAAATGTGTAGCACTTACATAAATTTAATTTAACCCAAGGTTTGCAATTCCTGTTTTTCCATCCCCAAATATACAGTATGACCTCTTAAAATAACAATTAAGACATATGTTACAGCATTTAAGATATTAACCACTGAATTGTTTTTTAGACTCTTTACTTTTTTATTCGCACACATGCTCCTAAATACATTTTGCAGTTCACGCTTATCTATTTCTAGTTGCAAATGCGAGTGAAGCGCTCACACTGTGTTTGTGAGAGTACACAGGCCTGTAAATAGTCATTTAACCCTATTGTTGAGAGAACTACAAAAAAGTTGAAGTCTCTTGAGGGCAGAATGACCTTTGCTAGTGTCTGTTCGTGTGTCATGTAGAGAGACTCTTTTCAAACAGACATATTGATTGCAGAGGGTTATGCATGTAATCTTCTTTTCAATAATTCACTGTGCTTTTATACAGCTGTAGATCAATGCATGCGCTCATAAACTCTCCTCCCCTTTCACTCTCTCCTCTGTCAAATCTCTCCTTCCATCAGCCCTGCTCAATCTGCCCTTTCATCATCTGTTCCCTCTACATCTGTCCATCTCTCTATCCTAATGAAGATGAGTTAATTGCACATTAACCTGCGACACACAGTCAAAATCAATAAAAATGGTTCATTCTCTAGAAATTGTGATATGGCTAACAGGATACTGAACTAATATAATAAAGCTTAATGAAATAGGCCCATGAATAGTGAAGGAAATCCAAGGTCTAATTCTAGTCGGCAAGTAATCATTTTGAACTATTTGCAAATACTATTTTAAACATACTTGTATGTGTTGTCATGGTTTCACTTCAGTTTGGACTATTACCCTGCCTGTATTTGTCACTATGGTAACTGATTTGATTTGCTATCATGTTCAGCTGTTTCACCTCGTTAGCCCTGTGTTTAAGCTCCTGTGTTTCCAGTTCTAGTTGTCCGGTCTCGTCTATGTTACATCTGTGTTGTGCTGAAATTACCCTGTGTTTGAATTGCCTGTGTGTGTTAGATTAAAGACTTTTTGAACCTTCATCTTCATATTTGTGCATTTATATATAGCGAATTCTGACAGAAGACCAGACTCCAAAAAACATTACTAGTGGCGAAAGTTTAGCTTTTTCCTTTTGTGTGTGTTGTTTGGACTTCATGATTTTTTTTTCTTTTTCCGTCACTATGGACATCCCTGCTGTGAGACTGTTGCTCCCTTGAGGAACATATGGAAGAGTTACTAAACCTCTCGAATTTAACATTGTACCCGGACAACTGCCTTTGTACCTTCCTGCACACCGGCCTGAACACCGCCACCAGAGTGCAGTTGTCCAGGGAAGGTCCTCAGGGAGCTTTATCGACTTCGTGGAGTGGGTGCAAATCGCCGCTCACCGTCGGAATGATCAACGAAGACACCAGCCCCACTCCCAACCCAGAGCCCAGCCAGAACCCCCCGCAGACAGAGAGCCCAAGCCGGCCATGATGTGTGAGCCAGCGCATGAAGGAGAGACTGAACGAAACATCGTCCCTGAGCCCGAGCGAGCCTCACAAGTCTGACCAGGTGTGTGAGCCGGCAACACCATCCATTGTCGGGGGAGTCAAAGTGGAGTACGAGGGTATGGAAAGGAGCCCCGCGGGGGTCTAATGCTATTTCATGCATGTTGAGTTATTTTCACAGTTAAAGTGTTGGATTCTCATGCTAAACATGGCCAAAGTTTCAAAAAATGATATGAATGTGGAATGGAGTATTTCTGTGTCAAATATACTCCTTCCGGTTTCGTACAAGTTTCGGAGGAGGGCACGGCCAAGCGGTGACCTGGATGATGGACCACGCAGAGACGATGGATATGGGGACAGTAAGTTAAACAGATGCAAACTCTGTATAATGCTTAAACCAGTGTTAATTTTGAATTTAAAGGGGGGGGGTCTAATGCTATTTCATGCATGTTGAGTTATTTTCACAGTTAAAGTGTTGGATTCTCATGCTAAACATGGCCAAAGTTTCAAAAAACGATATGAATGTGGAACGGAGTATTTCTGTGTCAAATATACTCCTTCCGGTTTCGTACAAGTTTCGGAGAGGTTTTTTCGAGCTTGGCTCTTTGTGACGTAATGAAGGGTGGAACTCCTTGTATGCGCATTTCTCCCGGAAGAGCGTACCCGTGCACACACATCGACCAGAGTGAGAGCAAGAGCGCGCCCATCAACGCGTTTCATTCGGCTGCACTGAACGGCACTCGCTCGAGAAGAATGTCTCCAAAGAAGTGTGTCTTTGGCTGTAAGGGAAAGATAACCTTGTTCAGCTTACCAAAGAACCCAGCATTATGTGAACAGTGGATGCAGTTTGTTTTTCTGGGGCAGTAAAGGAGTTTTGCAAGTGGGTTTGTTGACGAACGTTTTATAAACAAAACAAGGCCCAGTTCGGCGCTGGCTTTGCACATCGTTTGATACTGAAAGATGGAGCGGTCCCAGCTATAAAAGATATAGCTTTTCAGTTCTGAATCCGGTCATGATTCAGAACTGCAGACGGTAAGTGAAACCGCATCAAATGTCTGTGTTTTGTTGGCAATCGGTGCTCAAGTGCTCGTCACTGTTTAGCTCCACCCATCGGCACGCCTCCAGGAGCTCGGCTGTTTTCGGAGAGAATAGAAAAGTTGTATTTTTCTTTTATAAACATGATAAACATGATCGCTGATTCCGCTCAGCCTCTGTTCTCCGGAGCTCCCGCCTCCTCTGCTAACATCTGCCTGTCCATCTACCCAGTCTCCCATCAGCCACTCTGTTCCTCATTTGTCTCCTCTTAGTGGCGTGGATCCACCTCGGGCCTTCCGTGAGCCAGCTCCTCCTCGGCACGTGGATTCCCTTGCTTCGCCTCCGGCCGCTGATCCCGTCACTCCTCCTTGGCCCATCGCCCTGACTCCTCCACCCTCGCTCGAAATCCACATCACCACGGCTCCTCGCTCCAGCAAACGCCGCTGTGGATCGCTGTCCTGGCTGTGGCCTGGATCACCATCTGGCTCCCCCTGCTCCCGATCTTGAGAACGAATGAGTGGGAATATGTGATAAAGATTTGATTTGAGAATATAAGCATGATAATTGATAAGGATTAAGGTCAGGTGTGTCGAGTGACCCTTAAAGGGCCAGGCCTGTGTTTAATATTCAGGGTGTGGAGCTCAGGGAGGTGAGTGTACATTCAGAGAGTCAGGACCCTGCTGTGACCTCTCTCCATTATTCATCCCACAGAAAAAAAAGCAGAAATGGAAACGCGGTTCCACCCAGGAGGAGAAAAGCAGCCCTTTAACTCCAGTGCATGGCACTTTGACCCTGGATTAGAAAGGCTGCAGAAAACCCAGGAAATGTTGGACGTTACATTTTTAAACACTCCCTAGGGCTCATTTTAAGGGCCAACAGTGCGCCCTACATCCAGAGAGACGGAGGCAGGACAGTAGAAGAGGGAAGACACTGTGATCTCTCCAGATTTGTTCAGAGGTAACTGGAAACTGAACATCTTGAAGATACAGATCAAAACACACACTGCACTGGTGAATCTGTGTGTGAATACTGACTCAAAAAACATTTACAAACACACACTTCATCCTTACAGGGGGGAGAAATTATTTAACACCACACCTTTTAGTAAAAAAGACAAAAGCAAAACTAAAAAACGGAAGGGGACAAACGAAAGAGTGACAATTATGAAAACCCAGGCAATCATGTGGGAGTGAGAGAGAGACCTCAGAGTCTGTCTGACAGCTCAAGCTATTCAAAGGCAATTGTTGAACATTCATTCTGGATGCAGATAGAGAAAACACTGAAGGGGGAAAGAAGCAGAACTTACCAGATGTTCTAATCCAGCTTTGATGTTCCCTGTTTTCCTGCAACACAAGAACAAATTTGCTCCACTGTAAATAAAGCAAAGACAGCAAGCATCTCGTCACCCTGAGCTCCCACTCATTCGTCCTCCTCTCGTGAATCGCCCATAACCACTGTATTTTTAATTGATTTACTGTATTTATCCATACATGCTCACTGGGTTCCATGAGGGCAAGAGATTTCAAAAGAGCTTTTACTCCCTTTAAAATAATGACACATTACAAGAGAAAAGTGTTAGAGAGGAAATCAGAAATGCCACCGGTTAAAGACAGCTGGACTTCATTGGAATAATGATGCACACAGATGCTGTGTGGGTGTGTTTACATTAAATAACCATTGACTGTGTCTCATTAATTAATTGATACACATGTTCAAAGTATGGAACTTTGATAATACTTTGCAGTATTCATACAGAGTCTGATGTGTTTGAATACCTGACAAAATGTTTGAAAAAGAAGAATCATATATGGATTTTTTTATTTTTATTTTTTAAGGAATCACAGGAATAAATTACATTTTAAAATATATTACAATTGAACATAGTTATTTAAAATTGCAAGGATTTAAATAAGAAAATATGTAAAATTGTAGGATTGAATCATTATTGCAGTGATGAATATGTTCCTGGCATGTTGTATGTTTGGGAATCCAAGATGGCGCCGCGTATGGCTGCCTCAGTGTGGAGATCTCCGGTTGTTTTAATGTTTTTGTTAGTTTTTCCTGTCTGTTTTTCAAACACAATCAGTTTTACCAGGGATGAACTGCTGAACATTCGACAATACACACCATTACACAGTACACACACAAAGTCAGTTCACTGATGATTCAGTGATGTCATCATCCAGTTCAGATGATGCACGTCCTCCAACATGGTTGTTTGAGAAATGAAAAGCTACTCATGATTTATGCCAAGATTTATATTTGGTTTTAATAAATAACATTTAGTATTGTAAACATACAAAATACAGTGAATGGACAGAAAAGAACTAAAGGCCTCCAAACTAAAGCAAACAGAATAGGTGCTACAGAACTTACGGAATGTAACCAGGTAATGACAAAAAGATACAAAGATGATACTGTGGCAAACTGTGTGTGTGTTTGTGTTTGACAAAGAAGTGTGGTTAGGAAACCTGATGTTAACTAGCCTGTGGCAGCTCAGAAATGACTCCAGTAATCAGGGACACAAAAGCCCATGAGAAACCCACTCCACCCCCTCGCCCCTCCACAAACCCATCCATCCATCCATGCATCTCTCCGAGCAACCATTCACTACTAAAATTCTCTCACTTCCAAATGATTGCTTTTCTGGGGGGCCATTTCCATCTCAACAAGGAAAGACCAGCGCAAGCTAACAAATATCCGAATGTAAAACTCAAATGGGGCAGTATAGGGTTAGAGCACTGGCTCAAAATAAGTTACGGTGGTGACAGAGAGCTGTAATCTTTTAATGAAGAATAATTAGAGGTAAACCGTTCCTCACGAAATAAACAATCTCTCTTATCTTTCCTTTCCCCTCATCACACTAATTCTGTTTTCTTTTTATAATCACTTATTCAATTTCACAAGCGCTTATTATATTTGCACCCTCCCTCCGTCTCTCTATTTTTTTTGGTCATTTAGCGACTTCCCCAGTCTATGGCTAAATTACTGTATTCTTCTAATTGTATCTGTCTCTCTTTGGCACACGTCTGTGCTAAAAAAAAACAAAAAAAAACATCTAATTCAATTAGAAGCTTCAAACCAAATCCCAGCACTGCTGAGTGCAGACACAGGAAGACATTATCGGCAAATTAATATACATTTTTATTGAACTGGTACATCTTCACCTTTTCATTTTTTTAGCTTGATCTTTCTATTTTTTTTTATCTGTCCATTTCCTGCAGGTCTGCGGGGAGCACAGATTTTCATCCCTCTCGTTCCTCCCTGAACATGCTCGCATCGATTCCTGAATTTTACAGTGCAATATTAAATAATTAATATACTTGCCATGATTGATGTTTTGCCTTAGCCCAATATTACATTATCAATCAAACTCGGTTTAATGTAATAATATTGAAAATGTGTCAGGGGTTGTTTGGCTGGTTTACAATTTGCGCGAGAGATGCATGTTGTGAAGCGTTTTATATTGTTTTAATGGACAGTGGAGGAAGATGAAACTAGATCAGTGTTGACCTTGAGCTATGAATCCTACGAATCAGCTTATAATGACCTCATTCAGCATAAACCAACTCCAGCCAAAACACTGCTCAAGAACATCACTTCTGTGTGCTTCTGTGTCAGACATGTTATGTGCAGTTATTTTAAGCAAAAAATCAACACATTATACACTCAGAAAGCTGTCACATGGGGTGGTACCCTTGCAAAAGATACTAAAATGTACCATTTGAATACTAATATATACACGTTATTGTACTAATATGCACCCATTAGGATATAAATAAGGTACAAGGTTTTTTTCTCCATTTCTGTCACATGATGTGCCACTGTTGAAATGCACTTAACTTTCAGTAATTTATCGATATGACTGCATTGACTGACACCATCAGACGAGAACAAAAACTTGAACTGAATTAAGCTGGATGATGGCACTGTTGTTTTCTGTAGAGCTGCTTTACCGCTGAATCGTGTCCTGAAACACTGGCACTTATTGAACTGAATTGAGTCAGCATTGAACTGAATCGAGCTGAATAACAACATTGCTGTCTTTTGTAGAGCTGCCTATAGCTGATCGAATAACTTCACACTTTTACTGATCTGAACTAGCTTCAGCTAAATAATGGCACGACTGTCTTTTAGAGCTGCTTTACAGCAGAATCTGAACTGTCTCCATAGTTCCATAATTAGTGGCAAGCACCGAAGGTGCGTAGGCACCTATTGTATCTGTTGGCGTTCCTATTATTATTATTTTGAGGTTTTATATATATATATATAACTATATTTTAGTTTTAGGGAAAGTTATGTAATTTGGCACAAAGATAGAGGAAAGTCTCAACATTAACCATAGCAAGTTTGAAGTCTCTAACTCAAACACTCTAGCGCCACCAACAGTTCAAAGTTGCACTTATGTTTATGCTAATATCCTTTGAACCGTAAAATATAGACGGTAAATTCTTTTTTCCTCTGAATCCTTGGCCATGTCAAATAGACACCAAAATGTAAAATTCTATGGGTCAAGATTTTTTGCCATTTTTAATAGTTCGAAAAACCTACTTTTTCAAACTCATCCTAGACCGTTTGTCTGATTTGCACTAAAATTGGCTCAGATCAGCTTCAGACCATGCTGAAAAAAGTTATGAAATTCAAGTTGATTAGTTAAACCGTTCTCAAATAACATGTGAACGAATTTGAGGAAGAGCACGCAAAAATGGATGAGGCTATATCTCTACAATGGATTAGCATATTGAGACGAAACGTGGTGTGTGTTAAAATAGCCATGACCTGAGGCTACCAGCACAGTTTCGGCGCAGCGCCACCTAGTGGTCAGGATATATGAAAAATTACTATTGCTTATAACTTCTGAACAGTTTGGCCAAAAATCACAAAACTTTGTGGTTACTGTTTTGACAAATGTGTTTTTAGATTTCAGAAAATGTGAAACACCAAAATGTACGTCATTATTTAGTGAAAATCCTAGCCTTTGTCCAGCAAATATGCACAAATAAGATTTGAGACAGCTAGAGAGAAAGGTTTTAGGTGTCTGGACCATTGTACATGAATGACTACAGTTATGTTGTGGCCAATGTATGCTTTCATGGTATAGAAAAATTATTGTGAATATTCTACTAAACTTCCCCTTCTGTGTTCAACGAGGAAAAAAAAGAGAGAGAGAGAATACAGATTTAGAATGACACAAAGGTGAGTAAATGAGAGCTCTTCCAAATGATCCAAATGATCCAAATTCAAACTGAAACAGAATTTAAACAGGAACTGCAGTTCAAACTTCACCTTCAAAACTGAAACCCGACATAAAAGGGAAAGAGAGAGAGAACCTCAAAAACAAAGAGAGCTAATAAAGAAGAAATCGGTCAATGAACGAGGAGTCAGCATGGAGGACGGGAAAAAAATGTTCCCTCTCCATGGCTTCCCGTAAAGAGGTCATTATTTATCTCAACTTAATTAAGTAAAAGAGGACAAACAAGTCAAAGTGTTAACAGAGCTCGATGCAATGCCAGCCATTTGCTTACAGGTCAATAGTGCCAAATAGGAAACGTCTGACCAATCTGTCAAATACAAGAGGCCCTGACTGACGGGTGTGTGTGTGTGTGTGT